GGTGCATGTGCCCGGGGACACCCGGGGAGGGGACCCCTGCGTGAGAGGCCCAGGGATGGGCAGCGCAGAAGGGAAGCCTGGAGCTGACCCACGGAGAGGCAGATAGAGTATCTTGGGACAGTTCACATGCTCAATGTCACATCTAGTTGGTTTGACAAAACATGGGAAAGAAGAAGTGAAATTTGTTAGCTGTACCGAGATCCATGTAGTTCACTTCAGGGGACAGTTTTGGTACCAAATTATCCTTGTTATGCAAATTTCCTCCCCAACTGGCTGGTTCCCAGTTGTGCACGGGGACCTTGGTGGCTACATCTGCTTCCCGTTGTGCCGATTCACCGGGTAGCCACAGCCCATCTGCTCCGCGGGCCAGCACCCCGCTGCCGGGGAGGAGGGACACTTGGGATGGCTCTTGAGCAGGGAGGGAACATCAGCCTGCTCCCCGGGGCGACCACTGGCCCCAGAGGAGGGCAGCCAGGAGACTGAGCTCAGGGATGTCAGCCTTGCTCCTGTCCTTGACCTTGCCGAAAAGTGAAAACAGCAAGGGGACTTCACCATGATATCTGTACCTGTGTCCCTGGGAAAATACTGCCCAGAACTTGGCATTTTTAACGCAGCAGGTCCAAGCTAAGGCCTGAGGCCCGCAGTTTACAGGGCTCCTGGTTTCTTCTCTGCCACCCCTTTGTGGGGGTGCTCCCCGAATGTCCCTGTGAGTGTCCTGGACCCTCAGCCAGCAGCTCCTTCTCTGCCCCTCCTCATTTTCACTGCTTCCTTATACCCAGTTGTGGCCTCTCTTCCTGCACAGAGAAAATCTGGGGTGCTGTACACAGCTGGTTTTCCTTTTGTGGGCTCTTCAAAGCCGCTGCCCTGCCCCCCCGGTCTCCCTCCTCAGGCACGTGGCTCATCTGTCACTTTCCTTACAGCCAGCCATCCACATCCTGGTGACTCTCAGGTCTTGGACCTCTCCCTACAGCTCACCTGTTCTCGTCATCCAGTCGCTTAGAGAAGACCAAACCTCGCTCCCCTCTTCAAACCCTCTGTGGTCTTAATGGCTCCTCTAGGATCTGAGACTGTTATTCCTTCAATGAGCAATGGATCAAATCATCTTAAATAGGGGATTATGTAGCCTATGTTCATGGAGCACCGCCTTCACCCAAGGGGCTGTGGTAACAAAAAGCCACAGACTTGCGGGGATTAGAAACAACAGAAACTACTTCCCAGAGTTCTGGAAGCTGCAAATGTGAGATCAGGGTCAGACTCAGGGCCCTCTTTTGTGTGATGGCTTCACGCTGTGTCCTCACATGGGGACAGGAATCTCTTTGGGGCCCCTTTTATGAGGGCACTAATCCCTTTCCTGAAGGCTCTACTGGGATTTCAGCACACGGACTTGAGGGGACACAAACTTTCAGACCAGAGCAGGCACCTAGGCTATTCCAGGTAATCTTGTTGACCCTGAGGATGTGGCAGTTAGTACATTAAAAAACAAACAAACAAACAAACAAACAAACAAAAAACAAACCCAGGGGCGCCTGGGTGGCTCAGTGGGTTAGGCATCTGACTCTTGATTTCGGCTCTGGTCATGATCTTGGGGTCGTGGGATTGAGCCTCTCATCGGGCTCCACATTCAGTGGAGAGTTTGCTTGAGATTCGCTTTCCCTTTCCCTCTGCCCCTCCCCACTCTCGTGTTCTCTTTCTCTCTCTAAAATAAATAAATAAATCTTAAAAAAATAAAATCCCAAACCACCCCGTTCATGGAAATCGCATTCTAGTGGCAAGAATCCAAGCCCTCCCATCTTTGCTTCCCTCTTATCTGGATCCCTTCCAAGGTCAGCAGCTTGACCCCTGCTGGAAGGACCGCCTGGGTCCTCCCTGGTTCCCACTACATCTCCCCTCCATGCCTCCATGGCTCCCTATCACCTGGTTGGTCACCTTGTCACACTCTTCTGGAGGCAGGAGCTGAGCACGCTTCTTTTGGCTTTGCTGGGCTGTGCTGCCTACTGGGTCTCCTGTCCCCCATCCTCCACAGGGTTAGGGCTCAGTCTTCCGGGGGGTGCATGAACTTCAATGCTGCCTGAGTCCAGGGGAGCACGTTGGTCTAATTCAGGTCAAGGGAGTTAGCAAGACTGCTATGCTCACACCCTGAAGCTATGTCCTCTAATCTAGGTTTTATGTGTAACATAGCAATTTATTTTGGTTTTCCACTCTCTAATCTTCTTGTCTCTGAGTTGTTTCAGACTCAAGAGGGGAAGAGAGAGTCATTATTAATTAGTCTTCCTCACTAAAAAAAAAAAAATAGGTTTGGGTGGAGGAAGAGGGTGAAGCTGTAAATTGTGTTGGGGAGAAACGGGTTGGGGAGTCAGCTTCTCTGGTCTGGGGGAGCTGGTCTCACGCCTGGTGGGTGGACTCCATGCAGACCTCCAGCTCCAGAATGATCAGGAGCGGGTCTCTGGAAACTGCGTTTTTAATGACCACCCAGGTGATTCTGAGCTGCATTTGAGAACTAGGGTCACAGGGGATCTCTGGAAGCCCTGGCACCAGGGTGGGGATCGGGTGGGTGAGCGAGGAAGGCTTGAGGCAGCTGGGGATTGGGAATTTGGGTTCAGGGCAGGAGGGGCCAACGAGAGAACAGGAGCCTGGCTGAGAGGCAGCAATGCTATCCTCAGAGCCAAGGGACTCCATTTCCTCCTGTTGCAGAGGGCTTGGGAGGCAGGGTGTTTGGGGAAAGGCAGGTAAGACTGTCAGGAAGCAAGCAGAGCAGGGAGTGGTGATGCTTTGGCAGCATCCCTGAGCAGGTGGGGCTGAGCCACCTCCTGCTTCTCCAGGTTCTGGTGCAGAGGAAACCCAGAGACATCAAGCAGATTCTGGTCTGCGGAGGAACTCACCGTCCCACCCCTAGTCTTGTACCAATCGCTGGGTGCCCTTGAGTTTCCTCTTGTGCCTTGCTCTCCGTTTGGAGTTGAGAAGCCATACCCAAAAAAAAAAAAAAAAAAAAAAAAAAAAGCACAGGACTTTTAGAAACTGCCGAAGGGATTCTGTTCCTTGAGAATCCGTATGATTTTGATGACAACGCACGCTTCCACCAAGGAGTCACAAAACCTCCAAGACATTCGATTTTGATAGAAAATATGACTAACTAATTAGCAATGGGAATGGGGATCTTCGCCTTCTGGACCCACAATCCTGATCTTCAGCTCCCCCAATTTCACACTAACATTTAAAAAATAGGGCAACTTTTGGGGCACCTGGGTGGCTCAGTTGGTTAAGCGTCTGACTTGGGCTCAGATCATGATCTCAGAGTCCTGGGATTGAACCCTGCTTCAGCTCAGCAGGAGTCTGCTTGTTCCTACGCCCCTCCCCTGCTCACGCTCTCTCTCTTTTTCAAATAAATAAAATCTTTAAAAAATACATATATAGTGCGACTGTACATTCATGGCACTCATTGGGAACAGAAGTGAAGTGCGCAAGAGCAGCAGTTTCCAGTGGGAATGGTAAAATGCATGCAGGAAACCTCAGGAGCAGCCCTGGGGCTCCCCAGGGGAGATAGAGAGGGTGGGGGCGCTCAGGGGCTGCTGCGGGTGGGCTCGGAACAGTGGCAGGTCATCAGGAATGCATCACTTCCACTCAGTCTCTTCTGGGTCCTTTGCACCTGCGGCCAACTCTTCGCACCTTGCTGCATCCCACCTGGAATCCGGTGCTGTCCTCCTGGGGCCCACCAGGCACACCTCACTGCCACCCCACAAAGGGGGCACCCCCTCCGGGTCAGCCTTCCCAGAGTGGGTCTCATCATTTGGGCCTATCGAGTGGAGGCACCGCTGACTCGCAGTGCGCAGGGACCAGGGAAGGCACAGGGACACTACAGGTTCAGTATCAGAAGGATGTGCTGAGAATAAAGGATAATGAAAACCGAGAAATGGAGTCTCTCGTCCTACTGGTGGCTCTTGGAATCGAGATTTGAAACCTCCCTGTCACCTATTGGCCACATCTGGGGCTCCAGGATGAGCCTCCAACATGTGCAGCTGAGAGCCGGGGACGTCTGGGAGGGATCAGCGCCAGCTTTCCTCTCGATTCCTTCAGGTTTTATTTATTAAGCTTCATAAGGATGTGAGCTGCCAGGATGCACACAAACACGTTCCTCACGCTCACCATTAAATGTATCCTTTTGAGTGGCTTTATTCCCCTGAGGCTGGGCTCAGCTTATCTGTAAGTAAGTACATATTCGTTATTCTCTGGATCTATGATCCCTGTGAAATAACAAGGCACAGCTGTAAAATGGTGGACCGGATTTCTAAATGGGCATCCGGTCACATCAATCTGAGCAACACACGCCGGCAGTGAGCTCACCTAAGGAGGCTGAACACTCCCTCAAAAGATGCTGCCTTGTCCAGGGCTGGTTTTGAAAGTCTCCTTTGGGAATTGGTGGCAGGCAGGGGCTGATGGGGAAAGAGTACGACCGTTTATTTCACTGGAGTTTCACCTTGCTCGGATCAAATGTTGCACCATGTAGACCCGGTTACCCCATCTCGTTCACTAGGTCTGAAGCCGTCTGATGTCTGGCTCTCTCTCCAAAAGGGAGATGAGCCTTCTGGCACTGCCCGGCCCTGACCTAAGTGTGCAGCTTTGCAGGGTCAGGACCCTGACAGGTGGACACTGTGGTTAGCCACTGTCTCCCGCGCCCCCCACCCATGGACTCGCCTCCCGTGGCATTATGCAGCGGGCTGTAAAGAGCATGGGGTGCACTGATTGATGCTCGCCACCTCCACCTGCCTCAAATCCATATTTTGAAACCAAAGACCGAAGACTCAGCACCCCAAGCCCAGGGCAGCCGGGGACGGAAGGCGGTCAGTGTGCCGTGCTGAGCGCTACAAACACTTCTGAGGCCCACGGTCACGTAGTTCCCAGCTGTGGCTCAGCCGCCCCCAAGGCCCGCCCACCTCTGCTGGAGGGGAGGAGTCGGCAGCAGGTGGCTGCGCCTCAGGGCCCCGGACTTCACCGGACGGGACAGACAAAGTATTTGTTGCATTTATTTGTTCTATCACTACAGAAGAAGCATTTCCAAATGTGTACAAAAGGATCCTCTATTCCTCCAGGGGTACACTACCCCTTGTTCACAGCTAAACAGAAATAATTTAACATCACCAGAGAAGGCCAATGGGAAATACAAGGGCATTTTCTCATTTACAATCCTGTACACGTATTTTCCAGAATGGCAGACAAAGACCTAAAGCTGCACCGGGATACAAGCAAATTGTACCTTGACGATCCCCACGGACAACATTGTAAAAAAGTGTATTAGAAAGCATTTGAGACAATATTGCATATTAATACCTGGTTACATCTGTTCACAGTGAATGAGACCATACCCACGGGTGGATGTGCTTCTTTCTTCTGATGCCTATACACCTTAAATAGATCTGACTGTGGTTCATTTTAAAGTTAAAAAAAACACAAAACACAACACACTGAACTGAATGAAAGCTATCTGGATTTTAAGTAGAGTTGACCCTTCCTTATTGCTGAAAATCAAGAAGTGCAGGTAAAGAGAAATATATTTGCTTCATGATTTGTCTCTGCAAGTCCATCTCCTCCCACTTCTGTTTTGGCAAGAATACCACATTGTAAGAGCTACATGGTAATCAAAACAAAACAAGAAAAAAAACCCCACAAAAATAGAAAGAAACCCACCCCCCCCAAAAAAAACCCCAAACTCACATCTCCATAACAGTAGCTTCCTTTTTCAATGAAGATTCTAAGATTTCTTTATGTGGAGGATTCTCGATTGGGAATGGAACATGCTGGTCTCTGAAGTGACTGGTGCTGCGATACGCCCTTTGGTGACAAAGCAATGACAGTGCAAATCTTTTTAGTGATTCTTCCAATAGGACAACCCGTGCTCTCGGGTCCACATCACAGAAGGGACCTGGGTAGTAAGGAGCAGGTGTCCAGGTTTTCTGTCGAGGGAAGCTCAGTGACTCGGTGACGAGGACAGGAGGGGCGGGGCAGCAATTTCTTACTGCAATCAACACATGGACCCACGACTAGCGACCCTCCTGTCTCCGGTGTTCATTTTAAAGACCAGTGCATAAAGCCTAGGTACCCTTCAGGACACAGCGTTCCCAAGACGCACACTCACGCCATCCAACAACAGAACAGACCACAGAACAAAAAGGGGGTGAAGTCATGCAAAATCCTACTTTAACCAGCTAGAAGAGAAAACGTTAACAGCTTTTGGTACAGAATAGGACCACCTTTCTAACATAATTTAATTACTTGTTGCCATTCTATGGGACCTTACCTTAAGCACAATAATCTCAAAGAAAAATGGTGTTACAATATAAAACCACAAGAAAAGGTGTGTAAATAGATGGTTACAATGGCTGGAAAAGGCAGTGGAAGGGGGGGAGGGGATGGGGAGCATTTTAGGAAAGAACATCTGTGGCCACTATTTACAGTTCTGGGTTAAGCTTTGTTTGAAGCCACGGGGGTGGGGAAAAGTAACTCCTTTCAACCAACTGGCTGTGTGGGATGGATGGAAAAGAATAGGGCAGGTTCACCTGGCCGGCAAACTGGAAGTCTCAGAAGTCTTTCACCTTGAGCATGTTCATATGGCTGAAGCGTAGCTTTCTCTGTGATTGTGTGTGGAATTACTGCTGTCAGCCGCCCTATCTGTCTCTACCGGACTCAGTGCATCCGTGTGCCCGAGTCTCAGCCACTGCGACTATGTTTCCAGTTTCAAAACACCATAAGCAAAGAAACCCGTGCCTCAGGTATGACATGTGTGGACTCCATCCTTTCAACAAAACTCATGAGAAGATTTGCTTCTGAAGAATGAAAGGTACTCATTCACTTATAGGATTTACAGTGAAGACAAAGGAACACGGGTCAGGAGCTAGACTCCCAATGGGGACAGTGCCTTTGCTCTTTGGGAGGCTTCCCAGACCTTTGACTGGTTTAGAAGTTGAGCAGTGGTTCTCAACTCGGGGTGACTTGCTCCCCAGGGGACATTTGGCAACATCTGGGGAGATTTTTGGTTGTCAAATGAGGGTGCTACTGGCATCTACCAGGGATGATGCTAAATATTCTGCAAGGTGCAGGGGAATCCCCCACCCCAAAGAATTATCCAGCCCCAAATGTCAAGAGCACCGTGACTAAGAAACCCGGATTTAGACTGCATGCAGAGGTGCTTATGGACAATTTTTCTTTTTTTTTTTTCTTCATGTTCACGTTGGTTCAGTTTTGGCAAAAACACGTAAACGTTGGAAATGGTACGCTCTTCCTTGCCTAGGTGGTTGGGATTATTATACTTAAAGATAGAATTAACCTTGAGGGCTACCCCTTCCAGTGGGGCCCGGAGTCACCAAACATCTCAGGGGAGTTCCCGGCAGCGTGGCTGAGGAAGGTTCTACCTCCAGCACCATCTGCCTCTTTCCCGGCAGACCTCGCTGGCAGGTTATGCGGTCGCTCTGCACGTTCCAAGCCCCCCCCCCCCCGTGAGAAAGGATGGCTCCTATATATGGGTGGGCACATAGGGGCTGCTCTGTCCTTCTGGGGAGAGTTTCAGACTGTTGCAAAGTTTAGTTTCTAACAGGTAGGTTCTGCGTGCTAGGCACAGGTCCTGGGCTTTGCTCACCATAGTTCCTTGCTCTAAAAATGACTGATCATTCTGCACGCTTCCTTTATGGATTTTAAGACAAGAATAATGTAGAGTGAGGGCAGGGAACGAAATGTACCGACAAACAAAACAGTGACGTCGTTGAGATGGGGTCTAGGTCGGGCCTCTGAGGGGAAACAGGCTTCTGGCTGTCGGTGGAACCAGCCGAGGAAGGAAGGAGTGTGGCATTTGGAATGAAGTCTTGGAATGTTACCATTTGAGAGGTTCAAAGGAATTAAGGTCGGCATTTCAGGATGGATGTTAAAACTGCAGTGCCAGACTCTGGGCCTTGAGAGGCACAGACGCCAGAAGGCAGAGGACAGAGGTCTCCAGATCGGCCTCTGTGAGTTTGGAGTTGGGGGTTCCTTCCACCTGCCGGCAAGCCGGAGAAGGCTGAGCATTTCTACAGTGGTTTGGAAACTGAGCCGGAGACTACCAGGTCCTCTGACCCCTCCCCACGCCCTTTGCCCGGGGAGTCCAACATTTCTCCAACAATGTACTTTTTGTGCAGGCTGTGACTTATATATAATCACATCTTTTAGAAACTGCAGCCTTCCAGACCGAGATGCATGCGGTCAGAGGCTGTGGTTTGGGTTTCTCAGCCCTGCTGTGTTGGGGGGCACCTGCCAGGCTGACCCGGGGGGCTGTGCTCACTGGGTCTGGGGCCGTGGATGCTCAGCCCAGAAACCAGCTCATTCCTTCCCAGGCTCTGACCTGTTTTGATGCAACTTTCTCTGGAAATGAGCACTTCTTTAGAGGAGGGGAATTCTAGGAAGCACCAGGGGAGGGGGATTTCCGCGAGCAGTCTCTGAGCACATCTACTAAGTAACACAGCAGTTTGGGGGGGGGGCGCGGGGCGGGGGGCTCCCCATGTAACCCTGCATCTAACAATAAAAATCTCCTTGTTTTCAAAAGCAAATCAAACCCCAGCCAAACGACCGACTTAAAAAAAAAAAAAAAAAAAAACGAAATGAAAAACCACCTAGAAATCAAAGCACAACGTTCTGGTCCAGTCCGGGGCTACTGGCAGGAGGGGAGGGCCCGGGGGCCCGCGTGCCTCGCTCGGCCCGGCTTAGCTCATGTGGAAGCGGTGCTCGCCCCGCGTGATGTGGGATGAGAACTCGTACCGGTCCTGGCTGTGGTAGCCGCACATGTTGCACTCAAAAGGATCACGGAAGCCGTGACAGCCCATGTGGATGGTGTACATGACGTGGTCCAGGAAGAGCACCCGGCAGTGTTCGCACTTGTACACCTTCATGGGCTCCCCGCTCGTGCCGATCACCCGGAAGGCGTCCTGGGAGCTCTCGGAGGCCGCCCGCAGCACGTCGTAGGCGGGGTGCTCCTCCTTGATGGACAGGCCGTTGCGGGCGTGCGGGTTGATGTGGTTGGTCAGGTAGATGAGACTGCTCCGCTGCTCCTCGTTATTGCTCTCCGTGTCCGTCGAGTCTTGGCAACTGTTGCTTGGGGACGCCTCCCGCTCGGAGGACACCGACTTGGCCTTGGAAAGCAGCAGCAGGTTCTCCACGGCGCTGTCCTGGGCTGAGTGGTTGGACCGCGGGGGCCCCTCCGCGTGGGGCTTGTGGAGCTGGTACATGGGGTTGATGACTGGCACTACCTCCGAGCTGCCGGGGGGCGTCTGCACCAGCGGGCGCAGGGACTCGGCCCCCAGGTAGCTGATGGCGTTGTTGATGGCTTGGTCCATCACGTGGGTCTGCATCATCTCATTCTCTTTCTCGTAGCTGGCGCTGTTGTCATAGGGCATGTCCGACAGGCACTTGTCCCCTGTGGGGGGGGGGCAGGTGACAGTCAGTGAGGCCGCAGTAGCTCTGCGCATGACAGCGACAGCTGAAGTCTACACGGGTGCGGGAAGGGGCGGGGGACATCCCCACCTCAGGCTGTCCCAGTGCTCCGGCAGACACGCCACACAAACGCCTCCCAAATGGGGCAGGTGGAGATATCTCTGCCTATGGTCACCTAGCACAGGGACCTGCCTGGAGTCTGCACTTAAACAGAAATGACGGGACAAATGAATCCGTGAACCAGAGTCAGGGCGGGTCAATATAAACAGCACACCTTCTACCTAAATACTCACCCACCACCTGTGTCTTTTCCTCTGGACGGTATAATCGAACATTACTATATTTAATTTAAGATTAAGATTTAAGTGATGCATTTTCAATAGAGCCTTCTAAGTGATTTCCAGTAACTAGTGAACTTCTCATGAATTTAATTAAAGTACATCAGTATACAATTACCCATGATAGTATGCAATATACTTATTTAAAATAGTATTAGATGGGGGGCGCCTGGGTGATCAGTCGGTTGAGCCTCTGACTCTTGATTTTGGCTCAGGTCAGGAGCCCAGGGTCCTGGGATAGAGCCCCATGTTGGGCTCCACGGTGGGTGTGGAGCCTGCTTGGGATTCTGTCTCTCCCTCTCCACCCCTGCATGCAATCCCTCTCTCTCTCTCTTAAATAAATAAATACATATTTAAATAAATAAATAAAATAGTATTACATGATGGAATTTCAAATTCAGAACTTTAATACTCAGAATAAAATTTAATCAAAAGATACAACTGGAAGGTTTATCGAAAGCTGACTTTGGGCTCTGAAAGTAAAAAGATGCTCAGGGGCCACGTGCCACAGAGGTATGTGCGGGGAGGCTGGGGGCAAACCAAGGAAGCTCAGGGGAGAAGGTGTGCCATTCATCCGATCTTTCCAAAAATTGAACGGTGCTCAAGGAACCACTACTGAGGACTCTCAGCTCACAAGCTTCACCTCAAGAAACTTCTGGTCTAAGAGCAGGGTTGGCAGCAGTAGGCAAGCTTGTTGCTCCCTGGGAATGGTGAACCCTGAGACCAGCTCTGGCTTCTGAGTAAGGATTTGCATCAAGATGCACCTTCTCGGAATACCGGTTATAGGTCCAGTATGAACAGGGCTGCACAAATAGCAGGTCCCAGGCTGTGAAGTCTGATGAAGAAAAGCTTGTGTCACACGGGCTTCTGACCTAGAAGAGTCAGCCAGGCAAGTGGGGCTTGTGTCCCGCACTGGGAGCAGCAAGGGGAAAGCAAGGGGAGAAGGAGTCCCCACACCCTCCACACTGACACCTGACCTCAAGGTCTCCTGCTAGCTCTTAGCCACAGGAGGACAGACTCCCTGGTAGTTCAAAACTTATGAACTAATTCTTTTAGAAAAATGTTTCTGACCACTGACAGTTGTTCAGGGATCAGACCCATCATACTATAAAAGTATCTTTAGGCCTCATTTCTTGCTTGCAGAGGAGATTTATCACGAAACGGCTCAGCCTGCATTCATTCTAATCTACTGGTGGTCAGGAGGGGCACATGCCCTGATAGTGGAACAGTGTGATCCTCAGATTACAGAAAGGAAAACTGGCTGGTGACCAGTCACACCCTCTTCAGAAACGGAACATATGGATGGAATCTCTCCACGAGGTGGTCGGCAGGGAACACAGAGGTGGTGTTTCTCTCCCTTAAAATTTCAAAGAAGTAATTCAATAGCGTTACTAACACCACACAGTTTTCCTCATTTTTGTGTTGAGGTGCTAAATATCTTGTTGCTCTAACCCCAGAACAGAAGGTTTGTAGGGACCCTGGTAGGGACAAGATGAGGCACAGATATTGAGGCTGATTTAGGTATGTATCAAAGTGTTTATAGCACCACCAAAAATGGTGCTTTCCCACCTCATCATCCTGCTTCTTCTCAAAGTCATGATTCTCTGGTTTTCCAAGCAACCATTAAAATCCATTGTTTTTAGAACTTGGTCTCAACAACAAAATGGACAGAAGAAAAAATCCATATATTGCAGACTACTGTGGCATATTGAAACTACCCACAGAATTTCCCTTCCCTAATACTCCACAAAGTGAGAAAAAAAAAAAAACACACACCATTCACTTTGGCAACCAACTAAATAAAAGAACGCTTTCTAACAAAATAGTTAAAAAAAAAAAATCAAGGACCAAGGAAAGACAATTCTGTCCTAAGACATACAGTAAAGGGTGTCTGCTGATCTGACTTCTAAAAAACCTTAAGTATGAGTCAACAAAATCCTCAGCACTTTCTCTAATATCCTCATATCTGTAGAGCACCATTTCAAATAAGCATCTTCTTCCACTTCTGACCCAAAAGCAGTGAAAACCTCTGCTAGCAAGAACCAGGTGGCACTGGACAGGTGAGCAGTGAAGTGGGCTCTCCCGACAGGAGTCAGGTCCTCTATGGGAGGAAAACAGCCTGAAGCCCCTGGTGTCCCCCTGTGGGGCTGGGAAGCACTCTCTAACCAGGTACAGTGATAACTGGTTTAGGACATTTAAACAAATCTCAGAATGGGAGAGAGAGCAAAGAGAAAGTTTTTTAACAAAGACTGCACTTTGCCTCACCTGAACTACCCACTCCACCCCATCCTTGGCATTCTTTCAGGATTTAGAAAAGTCGATAGCTCTCACAGGAAAAAAAAAAAAAGTCTCACATACAGTGGGAAGGATGTCAAAACGTCAATCAGGCTATATTAGCCCAAGTAGAAGAGCAAGATGAAAAGAAATGTCATGGTTACAGTGAAAATATTTTCTAGCAATACAAGGGAGGAAAGGAAGTAAAACAGACCAATAAGCCCATCCTAGGAAAAAAGCTTAACTCAAGGAATAGAGGAAATATCTCGTAACTACTTTGTGACATGGGCTCCATAAAAAAAAGTACTGAAAGACAGCATGGTAAAACAACAGAATGAGATGAGAAAAGATGTCAGATCTCAGGACACAAAATGAGGTCCCAAACAGTTTTATTACAGAATGAATCCATGGATTTAGAAGCATCGAGTAATAGAACATAAGCTACTAAAAACGGAATGATTGACATAGAGGAAAAACACAAGATAATAAGTGTGAATGAATGTGAAAAAAGACACAAAAATTAACAAGGAAATGCTAACAGATATGGAAGACAAATTATCCAACACAAGGACAACTGGTATCCCTGATAGAGATCAGAAAGATGGAACAAAGGATGTCTCTATAAGGAAGAGAATTTCTCAGAAATAGAAAAAATGGGATTCCCCAAATTAAAATGGCAGGAGATTTTTATTCAGAATACAAAATACCAAGACACATCCTAGTGAGGCTATTTAACTCTAAGGTTACAGAAAGAACTCTTCAAGCATTCAGGAAGAAAATGGAAATCACCTTGCAGAAAAAAATATCAGATTGGCCTTAGACATCTGCACGGCAACATTCAACAAGCAATGCCATCATGGCACCACACACTCTGTCAAGATAGAAAGGCAACAGGTAGACGTCCTTGAACACAAAACAACTGTGGAACTAGAACACCTACAGCACCTTTTTTTTTTTTTTAAGAATATCTTTATTTATTTGTCAGAGAGAGTGAGAGAGCACAAACGGGGGGGGGGGGGGCAGGGGGAGAAGCAGGCTCCTCACTGAGTGCAGAGCCCAACATGGGGCTCGATTCCAGGACCCTGAGATCATAGCCTGAGCCAAAGGAAAATGCTTAATTGACTGAGCCACCCAGAGGCCCCCTATAGCACCTTTAATGTTAAGTCCAATCAGTTAAGAGAGTAATCAAAATAAACAGAAATAGCAGTAAAAGGACTGAGTCTGAGCCTTGAATCTATTTAAATATAGAGTTAACAGTAAGCAGCTAGACTTCTGGGATAATTAGGATTATGAAATAGAATGTGAATATTAGGAAGCAGGACGATGTAAAAATAATATAACTGAAAACAGGGGAATAAAATCATGTCCTTATTTCCCAAAGCTACAAGTCAGTAGATACTGCCTAAATTGAAACAAATGGATTAAAACATCGATTTGAAGGTCTTCATGTTTTAAATAATGCAGTGCATCTTTCTAATCTTAGAAAAATCCTTTAAAAATATCTTTTTGTGAGAAAATATTTACTTGAAGATCAGCCATGCCTCCAGTTTTATTTGTTTTTTTTGTTCGCCTCTTAATTTTAAGACAGCTATAAAAGTGATACTTTCATTTTGAAATAGCATCTGTAATATGACAGAATCTTTACAGAAGTATTTATTTAACACCTGTCTGTCAATCCACCTGTTCATCATACTAGCCCCTCACATGCGTATATATGGATAGAAAGATACTTAGAATAATGCTCAGCTACTCTTAATATTGGCAATTTCTGGATGTTGGGGTTTTTGGGTAATTCTAGAACAATCATCTTTCCATTAAAATTCCTTATACTGACAGTGTGTCATTTTAATAATGCAACAGGGTAGTGTTTTTCTTTTCAAAAAAAAAAAATACTCCAAGATAATTATAATGGATAGCAGGAATATTAATCATTGTTATTTTCCCCCTTTCTCCTCTTTTGTATTTAAAAAGCTTTCTCAGGGCACTTGGGTGGCTCAGTTGGTTAAGCATCCAACTCTTGATTTCAGTGCAGGTCATGATCTCAGGGTTGTGAGATCAAGCCCCACATCCGGCTCTGTGCTCAGCGTGGAGTCTGCTTGCGATTCTCTCTCCCCCTCTCCCTCTGCCCCTCCCCTCCTCTCTCTCTCTAACAACAACAACAACAAGAAACAACACATTCTCCCCGCAACTGCCCCTCCCCTCCTCTCTCTCTCACAACAACAACAAGAAACAACACTTTCTCCCTGCAACTGCCCCTCCCCTCCTCTCTCTCTCACAACAACAACAACAACAAGAAACAACACTTTCTCCCCGCAATTGCCCAGCAGACTAAGAACAATGAGTAGCATTGCTATGTAACATTATTAGCCCCTTTCTGTTGGGCTTCACTGATCCTGTTGACCTCTATCTGATGATCTTGAGGATGAGATCTTTGATGTCATAATTGGTGAGGAATGTTGCCGGCAGAATCAATACTTACTTACAGTCATGCCAACGTGCAAGGTAAAAATTTTAATCATAGATCATGTATCAATTAAGCAAAATTATAGGCCATTCTGAGCAATATACCACAGGAAAATAATGTCACCTTACATTTTTAAGGTGCTTTCTCAAGTGGAAAGCAGTGCCACACCCATTCTCCCTTTTGATCTTCAGAATAGCCCTAGGAAGGATGCAGGGCAGGAGGCATCACACCCATTTCACAGATGGGGACACTGAGTCCAGTGACGTGCTCCAGGTCACCAGCCAATCATAGCTGGAGCTGGACCTGAACTCAGGTCTCTTGAATGCAGACCTGGAGCTCTTTCAATGGCTCCACCCATGTGTATGATCATGTATGGTAACAGTTGCATTCCTACACACTTTCTGAATTTATATAAAGGATAAAGTCAGCATCTAGAAGTTAAGAGGGACCTTAAGAGATCCATCTTTTCCCCTTCTTTCCTTCCTTCTTTCTTTCCACCCTCCCTTCCTTTTTTTTTTTTTTTTTTAATTTTAGTGATGGAGAAGCTGTGACAAGTCAGGAGTGGTTGACTGAAATCCCATCACATTGAAGTGCGGACAAGCTAGGCATTTGGGGGTAGAAAGAGGCATTATTTTAGAAATAACTTATCAATCACCAAACTCTTGGGAAAACACCTAACAGAATACACAGCTGTTCCAATCTCCGTGCTGCTGTCCTTGTCATACTGTTGCCATCACACTTCTCCTGTGCCCCCCTCTCCCCCGGGGACTTCTTTCTAACCTTGGCTTGGCTTGATTAGAGGTGTGGTGTTTTTGTTTTTTTGTTTGTTTGTTTGTTTGTTTAAACACAGAAGCATCTAAATCTGAAGACAATACCTAACTCGTGGCCTCCTCCCAGGTGGCTATAGGAGACGTTCACAGGTAGTCTCATTTGGTTGGAAGCCTCAAAAAGCTAATATGGGCTGCAAAGTTTCATTGAAAAGAGTCCTCAGCAGGACTTGTCCAATTTCCCAACGTGAAAGACAAGTCGTGCCCAGCTTCCCAAAATCGGTGACCACTAACGACCTCGGGCACACTTGCTATTGGGTCTTTGCTCCATCTCCCCTCCTGGTTACCTGGCAACTGCCCTCCGCCTCACCTGCCGCCTGCTGACCACCGCCCACTGTGCACCGCATCCGCCCACTGCACCCCGAGCCCCACCCACTGCGCACCGCACGTTGCCCATTGCGCCCCAAGCCCCGCCCACTGCGCCCCGAGCCCCGCCCTCTGCACACCGCCTGTCAGCGCTGTGTTCTCACCTAGCCCACTGCGACTTGAAATCCCATCACAACAGCCTATTCTGGGCTCAGGACCTTGCTCCCTCTCTGCTCAGGAAATGCAGGGTCTCCTCATTCCCACAGTCTAAGAGCTCACATTTATGTGGGTGACTCCCCACAGGGCGTCTCCAGCCAGTGCCTTGCAAAAGTGTTTTAAACTGGATCCTTCTTTCCCCCAACTCTCCCACCCCCAACATGCAAAAAGCCTCTAAAATCTAATCAAAATGGAGGCTTAAGTGCAAGAGGGAGGCTGGAGCCTCAAGAACTTGGCCTCTCCTTTGTCCTACCCCCTTCCTGCTGTCCCATCTGTCCTCTGAAACCCCAAGCCTCATTAACCATTAACCCCATTCTAGACCCATGCTCTGCCAACACACATTTTCCAGGCTCCCATGTGGCCTCTACACTGGAAAGCCCTAGAAGATGAGCAGATCAAAACCAGAACTCTCTTTTTCCAGAAACTGGCATTATCGTTTCTGTAAATGGCATCCTCCTCTACCAGCACCACCTGACTCACGGCTTCCACCCCCCAGTCCCTGCCCTGACCCACACGCACGTCACCAAACCCCTCTGCTCTCTGCTCCATTTCCCACTCCTTCCCTGCCACCATTGGCCCTCTTCTTTTCCAGTCACCTTCTGGTACTTGTGGTCTGATTTTCTAGCAGGTGGCTCCCATCAAAAATATGCCAGTGCTTTTTCCTGCCTCCTGAGTTAAGGAGACGTGTCCCACCTCGGCATTCAAAGGCCATTGACTCTGTGGCCGGAGCTTACTGGGACTTCATTTTTCTTGCTTCCCCGAGGGCACATGAGGTAGCCGGGAATACTCCCTGCTCCTCGGTCAGGTCCCACACATCTGCTCCCCGCTCCAGCCCCTACAACCGGCGCCACCATTTCCCTGTACTTTTATGTCTGTTTAGAACCCTGTCCCTTTCTTCCACTTTTATTAATGTGCTGAAACCCTAGTCCCCTGTCAAGGTCACTATCAGCTTCATGAAGCTTTCACTTTTCATCATCTTTCCTGACCATGACCCTCCCCCACGGTCCTCTCTTCTGACCATGACCC